CTGACAGACAATCCATGAACGCCTACGGCATAATATGCTATGGTACATGAAGAAGAAAGTGGATAACCCATAGGATCCCACTTGGGTCCTCTATTGTTATTGTATATATTATTGGTTATTTAAAGCAATAATGCATGCTGATGTTACTACCATTACAAGCACACTTAAAGCATTTAATAACGATGATGTAAGCATCTAATATTTTTAAGGTACGCAATTTTATAATATTCTACTGCGGCGCTCTGGTCACATTTGAAGAGTGCCTAATAAGGCATTAAATTATTATTATCAACTAGTAGCTTCCTGACAAAATTATATCAATTTAAAACTTCATAAGGTGTGGAAATGGTTAAAATTAAATAAGCTTTCCCTTAATATAAATATATCAAAAAGTTCCAAATCAGGTATTTATTCTTTCTTCCAATTAGTATTGTTTTAACTTATTCATCACCATTTTGTCTCACATTAACATACATTATGTCATTTTATTATGGGATACCACACTACCAGGCTCTAAGTCACAGAAAAAGGCTGTTGAATTATTACAAGAGAGCCAACTACGCTCATTTCTTATATTATTTAGATATTTTGCTGCCTACATTTTGTATAAATGCTCTCTATGTAAATATTGTTGTTACATTTGCAATTGATTTAATAAAGATTAATTATAAGAGAATGATAAATCTCTATGTATCCGTTGTATTTAAATTCTTCTTTTACTTAACGCATGATGTAAGGGGGAAGGTCCAGGGGAAATTGTCCTAGGGAAGAAAGTCTGGGGGTCTTGGGGAAAAATACCGGGGGAAATTGTCCGGGACCAAATGTCTTAGGGGTGGGGGGCAACCAGCCTGCTTCCCAAATTCTGGCCCGACTGATGGACATGCCACTTGAGGCCAATGCTAGACCTCGTTTGGCAGATGGATTTCATACAGAGTAAGTCTATGTATCCATAAGGAAATATAACTAACCTGTAACTGTTACTGTAAACGTGCAACTACCAGTATTTCCTGAGGAATCAGTGGCTGTATACGTTATATTATTTGGTCCTATCACAAATTGAGCTGGAAATGATGTTGTAGTAAATGGAACAAGAGTTTCCCCTGAGTTGTCAGTTACTGTAACATCCGAAGCATTATATGTGACAGTAGCTGTCGACAATCCTCCGTCAGTTGATAAGCTGGTGTCAGGTGGACATGTCAATACAGGATTTTCGCTATCTGTAAAGTACATTAGATTTACATAATACATAATTGTTTGTTAAAAAGCCTACAAAGTATCACTTGTATAGTATTTTTCCTGAAGCATAATTTCATACATAATTTCCATACATTTACCTTTCTTAAGCTTTCGACATCATGACACCTCGGTTCTCTCAAATGTTATGATCTTAAAGGTACTGCTCTAGAATTTTGTAAGAACTATTTCAGTAATAGATATTAATAATTTTGTTGAAATTGTGAAATTCTAAAAAATGATATCTATTCTAAAGTGGATTACCCATAGGATCCCACTTGGGTCCTCTATTGTTATTGTATATATTACGGTATTGGTTATAGCAATAATGCATTTAAAGCATTAAATAACGATGATGTAAGCATCTAATATGCTCGGGGAGAACTGGCTCCCCCGTCGGGGAGAAAAAGCACAATTCGTCGGGGCGAAAACAAAATATATGTATTTTCTACATAATATTATTAGACTATAAAATCGATTATAAGGCTTTGAAACCACTAATTGTCAAAATTTTCGCCCCTAGGACCACTTTGGAAATCTTTTAATTGAAGCTTGACCACGCCCACTTTGCTTTCGTCGGGGAAACCCCTCG